CACACACACACACACACACACACACACACACACACACACACACACACACACACGCGCGCGTCCATACGCTCGCACGGGCGCACGTATGCCGACATGAAATTAATGTGCCATTATTCAGTACGCATTAGGCATAACTTATGCTTGTGTTATGCTAGGGTTGCACCTCGTGCCGCGTTCAGTTTGCCTGGGCCGATCTAGCTATATCGTTGAGATCGACTTATTAGTAACGTTGTACGTACAGGCAGGGACAGAAATTCGTAAGCATCGTATTTATGGAAGACCGTATATTGAGCCTTGTCTGGTGTATGGCCAATTCGAACGTCTGTCACTACGCGTTGATTCTAGAATAATGTACGCAAAACATCGCTAAATAAAGTTCTACGCGGTGAAATATTTACAGCAGCAAACCTTTCTTTTTGAGTTCTTTCTCTAGGTATTATGTATAGCGTTTATCGCAGTGAATTCAAACACAAAAGTCACAGACATATGTCACACGCACGTTGATATAAGCTCTAGTTAATGCACCACCAAACCCTTCAACCAACTCAGCCTCACAACACCCGAGTACATTTTCACACCGAAAGAGAAAAACAACGCCGCTATTAGTATGCAGACGTAAGACGAAGCGAGTTTAATCTTAAGACATCTCATGTATACTCATCAACGGGTAACTATTTATTTAGCAAATTACAATTCCGTTGTCAGGCAATCGGTGCAGTACCTCGATGCCTGTTGCGATTGTTGTTTACTTTAACATTGCTCGTATCACCGTGTACAAAGGAACCAGGGCGTAGAAGGTGAAACCTGTACCGCCTCGGGCGCTATTCAGTCCCATCGACTTTGCGGTTGCACACAGTGACATGGGTATGACCTTGTGCAGGCGAGAACTGGGAGGCGCTCCTCTACCATATAAGCACTGTCTCTGGCAACAGGTTTTCAGTCATGAACAGCGGAGTTACGAACACAACATCGGCTATGTTGAAGCTAGTGTGCATCTTCGCCGTGCTGGGTGAGTTTGTTTTATTCACCGCTAGGATCGATATGTGCAACATTATTAATCATTTTAGGTTTCGCTTAGGTTCACATCTTATCGATAGAGTTTGGTGAGAACGACAGAAGAAAATTCTTCTTTTCAATAATCTGCAAATATAGCAAATTCTGGTAGAAAATAGTAACTAAAAAGGCTTAGCTTTATGTCACATAATTCAATATAAACGCATAAGGAGAATAAAGAAAAGGGAAATGAGAATAGAGACTACATGGATGCATATGAACTCTATTAGAACCACATACGTATATTCATATATTCATTCGCACAACATGACACAATTTGAAATGAATGAGTGACTAAAGGTATTAAATCGCTTATCACATCTTGAATTAAATCAATGAATCAATTAATCCTTTTCGAGCGCTGAGTGACATTACATTCCTTATCGCTCAATTGTCTGTCGAAACCTTGACCACCCGACGAAGGTTGTCATATCTACGCATTAGACCCTCGCTGTTTGCAAGATCAACTGCCAAGTAACTCTAATAAGTAAACACGCGAACAATAGAAACCAGAGGCGTCGCCGCTAAGGTTAAATAGGACTAACAGACGTCGAGAACGTGCGCAGAACATATTTGTGCTATGGATTAAGACCCTCGCGGCTTAATTAGTGTTTGTATAGCTACGACTCTACACACATGTACATCTGTTATGATGACACATATCGTGTATTAGTTTCTCTTGTAGTAGTAGTACCTATCGTAGCAATGTAGGCTACCGTCGGTTTGAAATACCACTGAATTTAATTAGCACGGAATTAACAGTTACTAACAAACACACTTTATGCGCAGAAAGAATGAACCAGCAGATGCCTGTTATATTACGCAGTATAGTAGCAAGTAATTTTTTTCATATTTATTCAGGTAGGGTAACTGCGCCTTTATAAAGAGCCACGTACTTAATTGGAAAACCTTCCTTGTAATTCGTAATGGGTTTATTTCACTAACCTATACGGCCATCATCAAGTATGAATATATTATATATATATATATACATATAGGTAACTTTGGTAATCAATGCGTGCTGATGCCTAAGGTAAGCAGAATGTCTGTGTAAAGGTCATTATTCCGCTGAACAAAGGGTAGAAAGGCGTTGTCATTAAGCTCCCAAGTTTTTGAGTAGACCTGTTTTTGATCTATACACAGTTTCACTTTTACAAAACCGAATCGTAATTGATGCGGGTTCTAGTGATATTAATCGAAGGTCTGCAGGGCTAAAAGGCAGCCAAGGCCAAGACTCCACCCAGATAATATTTAAAAGCAGGTCCGTTGTGGCTGGTAGATTTTGACAACATACGAGAACAACAGCCCGAAGCGAAATCCTTTGCGTACGCGCACGCGTGTGCCTACATGTGTAGGAGGGAAGGGGCGTGTGCTTGAATGCGCGCGTGTGTTTGTGCATGTCTGTGTGGCTGCTTGCATGCGTGCCCGCGGATGGGTGTGAATGCGCGTGTGCGTGCGTATGGAAAGCATTTTGTTCATAAACCTGGTTTATCGGTCGATAATGATAGTTTTGTCGATAAACCAGGTTTTTGGTTCGATAAACCAGGTTTTTGGTTCGATAAACCAGGTTTTTGGTTCGATAAACCAGGTTTATCGACCAAAAACCTGCTTTATCGACTTTTTGAACAAAATGCTTTTCATATAAGCATGCGCGTGTGTTTGATTTCCTGCGGATAGCCAGGCGGGCAGGCGTACCCGTGTGTGTTTGCGCGCATGTCAGTGCATGCATGCACGTGAGTTTGATATAACGACTCTCATTACTAATATATTAAAAATTTTCTTTTAGCCACTACTCTTGCAGTAGATGGCGACTTCGATATAGACATCGGAATACCACGCGCTAAAGGTACCTGTCAGTTCCGTTGCGTGTCCGACGGCAGTTGTCTTCTAGACTTTGCACAGACATGTGATGGCGTGGAAGACTGCCCTCAGGGGGAAGACGAAGACTGTGGTATGTCATTATTTCTCGCCTTCTTTAGTCAACGAAATTGGTACGTTTCGTGCCATTCGTCAAGAAGAAGCGAATAATCGCAAAATAATCGAATATAATAATTTTTAGTTTTGTTAGTTTAGTTTATCGTTTTGATTCGCATTCGCGAGGATAAACAATTAAGCAGGCGTTAGTTAGACGTTATATTGTGTTGAATTTAAAATATATGTGCGGGGTTTGTTGTTTCACTGTAGTCTACATTCACTACCATATATGCATCATATAATAGAATATGTTTTCTGTTTAAATCCAGGTTCACTCTGTGACCCGGAAACATGCCTGCTAAGAGACAACTGCCATTGTCTGAGCACCTCGCCACCTGGCGGCCTAGAACCAAAGGATGTTCCGCAGATGATCTTGATTAACACGGAGAACGAAATACCATACAGCGGTATCTTTTCTACGAGGTGCGATAGGGGCTAACATGAATACTTCAACTGAACATTTTAAAATTAAAATCTAATATATGTTGCCCGCATTGATAGCTCAACAGTATTACCTATTTATATAGCGTAGGTCTACATGAACATGATTAAATTTCGATCGAAATTACTAAAGTTCATGTTAATAAATATATTTAAGCAGACCGCTTGCTATTTTGGGTTCTTGTTACCGTTCTTGCTAGCAGAACCATCATTAGCATATATCGTCATCTATTCTGCAAATGTGTATTTTTTTACCAAAAACATTGGATTTGGGATTCTAATTGTGATTATAGACTAGAATTGAGAGTCTACACACAGGGGCGCATATTAAACGCAGTCGATTCGTTACTAGATCCACAGATAAGGATGGAAAAGCCATAAGAGTGCCACGCAAAAATCCAAATGGATGTCAGGCAACGGGCACTTTCTTCTTCCGTCACGAGTACACAAACTATGCTTACGTCAAGCAGGTTTACGCGAGAGGTCACGAGATCGGCTCGCTGTCGATTAGGTAAGAGACGGGATGCGCAGAGGGAAAGGGCGTTGTCATAGTGTCAGTTGAGTAAACAGACTCAAGGTCGAATTTTCAGCGTGACGACATATTTGTTTTTTCGAGCCACGCGCAACAACAAAAGTAGTAGCAATGAGATACGAATGTTACGGCTATAGCACACACACGCAATCACGCACACGCACGCACGAACCCACGCACGTACATACACACAGACATACGCACGCACACACACACGCGCGCGCGCGCACACACATACACACCACGCGACGCGGACCAACACCGCGCGGCCAAACACCGTCCGACGCCGCTCACGACAACCCGCCGCGGACGCTCGGGACACAGGTACGCACCACACATCATGGCCCGGGGGCACCCCGCCGGGCCGTCCGCAACCACCACACCACCACACCGACAACACAACACCACACACACACAAGCACCGGGCCCGGGCACAGCCCGCGACCACGAGCAGGAGCAGCGACCACGACACGCGACAACACCCAGGCCGGCCGAGACGCAAGGCGCCGGCGCCCGCGCGCCACCGACCACACACACATACACACACATGAACACCGCAGCCCCGGCACGACACCACCAACAACGCCCGCCGCCGCGCCCCCCACGGCCCCGGGCCCGCCACCGGCCCCGCGGGGCCGCGGTCAGCACAAACACACACACACACAGGGCGGGCGTCGACACACACACCACAGCACTGCGGGCCGGCGATAGGCATACACACCACACACACAGCCCACAGCCCACGTGCGTCGGCCCTCCACACCATGAAAGCACGCCCCGGGCCGCAATCTAAACGGGTTAGGTACGACATTTGTATTTCTACCTATACTAACTTATATACTAACAATTTCTGTAATGTATTAGTCACCAGCTACCAAGCACTTATTGGGCCATGGCATCCGCGGAAGAATGGGATCGAGAGCTTTCTGGACACAAACAACTGTTGGAGAAATTTGCCGGTATCAATCCAGCTGATGTCAAGGGGACTAGGGGCTCCCCATACTACCAGGTGTGCGGAGGCTGAGCGGATAGTCCATAACCTAGTGGCTGTCTGTGTATATGTTATATGTATAATGTATATTATATATATATAATATATAGTATATATAGGTGAGTAGTACTAGTACTAAGGAGGAGTATACTGTATAGGGTGTGTGTGTGTGTGTGTGTGTGTGTTGGTGTGTGTGTGTTGTGTGTGTGTGTGTGTGTGTGTGTGTGTGTGAGTGTGTGTGTGTGTGTGTGTGCTGTCGTGTGCGCCCGCCCGTGTTTTGTGTGTGTGTTCGATGTGTGTGCGTTTGTGTGTGTGTGTGTGTGTGTGTGAGTGTGTGTGGGTGTGTGTGTTGTGCTGTGTGTGTGATGTGTGTGTATGTGTGTGGCTGTTTGGTGTGTGTGTGTGTGGTGTGTGTGTGTGTGTGTGTGTGTGGTCGTGGTGTAGTGTGGTGTGTGCTGTGTGTGTGTGTGTGTGGGTGTATGAAGGCGCCCTACGCATAGTATACATTATACTTATATGTATTAAAACCAACCTATAGCTAAACATACTATATGGAGGTGCCAACGGACCTCATCATAATATAAGACTCGCCTGCTGTTTTGAGACTGCTCATATTTTATGTGGTTTCCTTCAGGTTGGTGGTGAAAACCAATTTGATGCTATGAGTCGCAACGGTTTCGCGTATGACTCATCAATGGCGACACATTACAATAACCCACCGGTTTATCCCTACACGTTGGATCACAAGAATAGGATTGAATGCTTCGTTCCGCCATGTCCACTCAAATCATGGCCAGGAATCTGGGAGGTGGGTTTATAATATTTGGATATGCGCGTTCCTGCGCAACACATCACATTGTACATAATATTAATGTTTATTGATAAATTGCGTGTGTGGTTTAAAAAATCAGTTACCATAGGTAATGCTATAATATCTCCGCTGCCATTCGGGTAGTAAATGGCCAATGTACATCTCATTCTGTTTCATTTACATAACAGCAATAACATACAAACGAGGCGAATAAAATGTTTCATAAAACGATTCCACCAGCGCAGACGCACACTCCGTGAACAATAAATTGTCTACTATTTTGTAGTCTAACGCGATAAGCCGGAAAAGAATTATAGGTGTGTTTATTCTAACAAATTCTACGACACAATTCAAGAATGAGAATGTAATGGCCAACACAAAATAGTGCGTCATTGGGGGTTATTGTGGAATCATTCGTTCAATGTATATTTAGGCGTATAGTCGCATGTGTTACCTACGTTATATTATTTAATGTTATATTTTACAATGTCTTCAGATTCCACTGAATGTCTACAACGACGTTAATGGTACTCGTTGCAAACAGCTCGGAAGCTGTTATCGTCCTGGTAACCGAGATTGGTACAGTTTCATCAAGCAAAACTTTAACCGCCATTATTTGACCAACAGGTTGGTTTGAAATTATCGACATTGGCGTGTTACACACATTATCAAGCAAGATTCATACTTTTCTTCTCGGTAGACTTTCTTCGTCCGAAACTGTTAAATCCGTTATATGTTAATGTAATCCGGTAGTGTTGCTATTTTTTCCCATTAAATTCAGTACGATATCAAATTAGATTGCACACTACCCCAATTGCTCTAAACATTCAAACAAAGAAAAAAAAAACGGGGAAAAATATTCGTTCAATATAATACGATATATACATAATACGACGTAAGCTCCAAGTAAGCCTCGTCATGTTGTGAGCCGAATATAAGATTAGAAATATATGCCCGTCTCTGCTTCTCTCCACGTACAGGGCTCCATTCCAAATCACGCTGCGAAATGACTGGTTCATATCAAGCTCGACAGCTTATCGTGGTTTGATACAGTTCCTTGACGAGATGGCTGAAATGAATGACGTCTACTTTGTCAGCATGTCTCAGGTAAGATACGAACGCAACCTTCTATAGTAAGTTTAAAAAACGTGATAAAGATTGCATAAATCTTTGAGTCAATCGTACTTCTACAACGTTCAGTGATGTTTCCGCATACATTTCTTCTCTACCAGCACAGCTAATCCTCTATGCATGTATGTAGATGTAATTCTCTTAAGATTAAATGCTGGGAATCTTCGGTAAATGACGTTAGAGTCTCACTAAAAAATCATTTTGCGTTGTATTTTAAATGAGTAGATTACGCGCGAACATTCATTTTATCCGAATATATCGTTTTTCTCCAGGATTGTGAAAAATATCACCTATAATTATGATATGATTAGAAGTGCATGGATTAGAGATCATCTAATTCACGTACTCACGATAATATCTTTTCTTATATCAACGACTTATCCCTCGTCCATTCTGCGCATTTTAGGCAATCGATTGGATGAGGAATCCGACGCCTCTGTCGTCCATCTCTAGCTTCAAACCGTGGAACTGGTGCCAGGAACCGCAGAATCGTGATCGCAGCTGTGACAACGTCGCCAGTTGCCAGTACATCAACGTCACCCACGTTCCACTTCCCAACGAGCGAGTAATGCGCATATGCGATCCGGCAGAATGTCCGCCTATCTACCCGTGGGTTGGCAGACCGCTCGGCGAGCTACCCGGCCAGGGTTAGAGATCTCGCGAGTCTCATCCTGTGATGTCCCGTCCTATAACATCCCATCTAATAACGCCACATTCCAATGACGTCACATCCTATGACTCTAGTTGCGTAAACTAGTGCGGGTCCACTGAGGCTGTACTGCATTGGGCGAATTAAAGCTGGAGCGGCCATATTGGTGCAAGTTAATCGATAGCTATACATGCGGCGAACGCTATGTGCATTTTGTTAATTGCTGCATGCTATACATTTACCTGATATAAGTAAAGGCTACTATAGGGAATAGTATTGCAACATCAAGTACAGCCGAGTAGTTACACCTATTATAGGTCTACAGCTATGGTCAAGCAGATAACAATGATCCCCACATTTGTACCTTATGCATGTATGCATTGTACGTATATATATAATGCACATATGCATTATAAACACCTTACAGTGGATTTCCTACGTTCATCGTTGCTATATGAGCATGTGTAGAGAAGCTATGGATCCATTTTGTTAGTACACTTTATATGCATATTTTCAGTTACTCTGAAATTCGATCGCCACGGCTTTTGATGTAGAACGTATATTATTTCTGCAGCTATTTCTTTTTATTCACATTAGTCAACATTGTATGATAATAAATTAGATGTTAAATATTCGTGGGATTCTTCTTGTTATTAGATTACTACATGTGTGTGTGTGCTCGGTGTACTCAGTGTGTGCGTACGCGGGTGCGTGCGTGCGTACGTACGTGCGTGCGTGCGGGCCTGCCTGCCGGCCGTGCGTGCGTACGTGCGTGCGTGCGTGTGCGCATGTGTGGGTGTGTTTCTCTGCATGCCGTTGCGTATAAGAAGTAATGTATGATGCCAAACTATCCACATATATACCGCCAATTATATACATTTTCAACTTCTTTTTAAAGAATCCTCCAAACCACATTAGATTGTACAACAGAGATGATAATAGGTTCAGACTTAGCTACGCGCATGACTACAATCTGTTTAAAAACATGGTTTGTTAAAAATATCTATATAAAGTTTTTATTAGGAGATTTTTGCGCAGAAAAGCTCAATCCAAAAAATATAGCGAAATATTGTCTCACATCACAGCGGTAATATTACTGATTACACTAACTTGAAAAACACTAAGATGTTATGCAGTTATAGCAGTAGCCCTAGTAACTGGTCCAAGATTACAAGAAAAGACTGGCTGGTGATCGAACTTGAATATGTTGGTGAATACAAAGGTTCTAATACATTTCATCGTTACTCTAGACAGTTGCTGTTGCTCAAGCGATAACGGTAGGTAATTAAACGGTCATACAAGTGAGTGAAAACACTAGATAATTCTCGTAAATATGGCTTTAATATAGAGCGGATATATCCAGGAACAATTATCTCCGTAAATTATAAATGCCCTCACTTTTCTGAAAATAAAAGGTAAGTCGGGACTCAAGCTTCATAACTTCCCGATTTGCCACACCGCCAGAGTGAAATTATAAACAATTTTTTTGTCAATGGTCGGCGCTAGTGTCGCGCATAAAAAGAAATGTATGATGCCAAACCGCATATATACATATATAGATTTATTGAGATACTGCCCCTATAGAGAGATCATACTCCTGAGGGGTTAGATATCCCTAATGTAGACATCACTGCCTCCGTTAACTAATTGAAGGGCTTAGAATCATCTAGACATTATAGGGCCCTAGAATATTTACCTCCAAAAATTCTAAATGCTCTTACCTTTCGGTTAAAATGAATTACTCATTACCCTAAATAACGAGCCCACTCTTCTCAACATTATGATTTGTCGCAAAATCAGGTGAAATTTTGTAGAATTTTTATTGTCGTTGGTCGGCGTTATAATGTCGCGCATGAGAAGTAGTGAATGATGTAAAACTAAACTACACATGTAAAGAAATCATACTCAGCAATTTAGATCCCAATACCTTAGTTAAATAATTAATAGGTTGAGAATTTTTCAAACCACATTAGAACGTACAGCAGGTTATGGGGTCAGGCGTATCTGCGCGCATGCCTACTATCTGCCAGAAGAAAGCCTGGTTTGTTGTAAATATCTAATTAAAACAGAGAAGACATATTATTCAGGAATTGTTTTTACTAAGAATTTCAAATGCTCTTGTCTTTCTGAAATACTAAGACGGAGACGATTCGTCTCAGCATCGCGATTCGCCACACCACCGAGAAATTGTCTTGAATTTTGAAACCTGAATTGTTTACGCACTTTTCTTTGTTGCTAGTCGGTGCTAGTGTCGCATATGATAAGCGATGTATGATACTAAATTAAATATATACCTACATAATTTTATAAGAATTATAAACAGTCAGTAAGCCATACTATCAGTCATACTCAGAAGTAGTTGAACATCGAAAATAAGGATCCCAATGACTCAGTTAATTTATTAAAAAAGCTAAGGATTTTTAAAGCCGCATTAGAGAAGAACAATAGAGAGAAACAGATTATAGGGTCGTAGATGTATTTGTCTACATGCCTACTATCTGCTTAATAAAGCACAATTTATTGAGATAATCTATTTGATTAACAGAGGACATATTCAGGAATTTTCTATACAATTTATTCATCAAATTTTGCCTTCCTGAAATAATAAATATTATCAACATTCCGATTCCCCGCAACGCCGAGTGAATTTACATATTATATGAATCTATTCCTGTCGTTGGTCGGCGCTCGTACCGCGAATCTGAAGTAGTAAATGGCGCTTAACAAAACAACAGTGAAAACAAGCACACACCATTTCGCGGCTTGTAAGCCGCTCCGATGAATTAATTATACGCATCCCTAATTCTAGAAGGTCATATGGAAAAGGAATTTGACTACACAATTGCCTTCTCTTGTACCTGATGTTTTGCTTTGCTCACTCTAGTCGTTGTTACGTTAGTACTCTTGAATATACGAGAAATAGTCGACGTTAAGAGTATTGTAAAGAATAGGATTATTTCCGATAACGGACCCTCCGCGTCCTACTAGCTACAATAATGGAACCGAGTAGCGTAAACTGCAGGAAATATACACATCTATGATCTACACGAAGTCTGAACAGCTAATTCGTCTACATTACGATTCAAATCATCTATGGGTACATCCAAAAATATGCTAGCTAAGAATTGATAAAACATCGAATATAGTGTTTTTTTTGTGGATTCAAATTCTAGCTCGAAAATATTTCTCGAAAAAAAAGTTTTACAAAAACTTCGTGCTTTTTGCATAAAATAAATGGTCGGTTTATATAATATGATCAGGAGTTTCCTAATAACTATATAGATCTGTATTATAAATAGTCTATAATTATTATGACACGTCTGATATAATCATGCTTGTCATGCTGATGGGTTGGTTATATCGAAAGTAGTCACTGTAATGTCATGCATTGTATAATTCCTCGGAAAAAGTGACAAACTATATGGATTATGATATGAATATTTAACAGTAGTACGTACGAATTCGTATTATTTTAAATATTTAAATATATATTATATATATATATATTATATATATTATCTACGTCACGACCATACACTTGATATTCAAAATAGCGCATGTAAATGACTGGTGGCCACGTGCGCTTCACTGGAGAGCGAATTCTCAGCGACAAACTGCGGTGTACTAGCTGTCATCTTAAAATGTTTTCAGTGCCTCAGTCAGTCCCTGCGGTTACTTACTCAGTCCTGTCTGGCTGACTCCGGTGAGGCGGTCATGGCGAGGGAAGTGAATCTAGTGAACTAATACCGGGAGTTTATAATATATATATATATATATATATATATTTATTTATATTTATTCAGTTATTTATACGTGCGTGCGTGTGTGTGTGTGTGTGTGCGTGCGTGTGTGTGTGCGTGCGTCCGTGTGTGCGTGTGTGTATGTGTGCGTAAGTGTGTGTTTGTGCGTGCGTGCGTGCGTGCGTGCGTGCTTGCGTGCGTGTGTGTAATACGGCAAAGCAATACGGAAAGAGAGGAAACAGCAAGAGTATGAAGGTAAAGGGATTATAAATTCCATAAAAGTGTAAGAATTTAGTATAAATACACATATTGGTATGAATATTTGCCCCGAAAATTGTGCATCGTATTTCCGATTATTTTTAAGTCACTGAAACCAGACAGATACTATCTGTCCTACCCAACATACCCGGGTGTTTCTGAGATTAGGGGGCAAATTGCTGTCCTGACCACCCTTGATCAGAATTCTTCAATGACTTGCCATGTTTTGAATCAATTATATTGTTTGATGAATGTCTTGGATCATGGTAAAAAATTAGCACTAAAATGGATTTCATATACATGAGATTTCTTTAAAAAAAATTAAGTTCAATGTTCAGATGGTCTCGGAATGGCCTGTCCTAACCCATGGTAGCCAATTTTCCCTCAATGATTTGAAGCTGTTGTCATCATTCAGGGATGGGAAATCTAGTTTGGGTGGGGTTGCTATTGTTTCAACTGTAATTCAGCAAAGTTTCATGCGCCTGTGACCTTAAGTGTAAGAGGGGTGAACCTCAGACCTAGGGTCCCTATATACAGAGAGTTGCGCCATGACGAGTCGGAAAAAATCGGTCCCGTGGTCGCTGGACGACATGTTGTTTCCAAATGGATACGCACGGCTATAGCCGTAAGAAAGTGTACAATTAAATTATCATATGGCGCGAACGATTTGAGTTACATTTCTAGAAATCTAGATACACATAGACACATGTCTTAGCTATAATCTCTGTAAATTTTGAGTTTATTGAAGCACAATTAGTCTAATTAATTACTACGGACCATTGTACAGCGTATTTATACATCGCATTTGGAATCCATTTGGAAACAAAATGGCGTCAAATCCTGAGTTGGCGCAACTCTCTGTATACAGGGACCCTACTCAGACCTATTGTCCTGAATTTTTATCAACTCCGTTACGACTGTATTGTGCTGACATCTATTAATAGACAATGGTGTTAACAAATGACCAGAGAACAGACCACTATTAAATCCTCCATAGGATCCTATACTTAAGAATTGAATTTCAGGAGCTGAAAAATAGTATTTCGACCGTTTTCGGCCGAGTGGCAATATTAAAACTAGGTAGCCATGTACTTCAGCTGTGCACCATTAGAGTTATGACATATGTTGTCCGGCGTTTTAAAAAAATATCGCGAATTTACTAACCGACACCACATTTGTGCCTGAAAAACAGTCGCGCAGTCGAATGGGGTCCATACATTGAAAGAATTCGTTTTAAATTACCAGTAACCAGCATTTTATTCATGCAAAATCACTGCACATTAACCGTACAATCTTCACTCGAAACTTTTGCCAGCTCTTTGATGCGAAATTCCACCATGTTTGCCGGGTACCCCTCAACTCTCAAACGCGGCTGCTGGTCACCATGGCTACGACACCCCACGCATTTGCACAATTTTTCCACAAAACCGATTGAAATTCCAATCCTTTCCAAACGTCTATCGGGCATCCGTCTTCATTGTGCAATGCACATTTACGCACTCTAATGACGAAATTTGCCACGAAAAATTCGAGAAAACTGCTGTTTTCTAGAGACAAAATAGTGCAACGGTGAACAAATGCGGAGGCTTACTGTTATACGCCTCCTGAAGCGGTATATAGACCAATCAGACCAATCAGACCAATCCGACCAACCAGCATCACATTTCAAGGGAAAAATTTGCCAAAAATAAATGCGTACTTAAATGCATTCATCACCTCTGTTACGCAAATTGTATGATAAGTAACCATAGAAACCAAACATCATAAATTGAGGAAGACAGGCATATTGACCTCGTGAATAAAACATATTATTTGCATCTTGCCCTTGCACCATGTGGAACCAACAAGGTCAAACATGACAAAATTATCAACTCCGTTACATCAACTCCTTTACAAAATTGTAACGGAGTTGATGTATAGGCCCTTATAAAAGTATACAAAAAAGTAAAAAAAGTAAAAAAGTGTAATAATCTTTGTGGTTTCAGGGCCACGGTGTTACAAATATTGGAAAAATTCCATAAATATGCCAAAGAGATGATGAAAAAAATTCAGTCATATAAAACTGCAATTTGCCCCCTAACCTCAGAAACACCCACCTTCTAGTCATATAGCTTCTCATTATGTCTTCGAGTGCAGTTTATGGTAATTAAACATAGTGTTTCCAGAGTACTTCTTTCTATGTGTAAATGAAATCTCGTAAATTCCCACAAGTCCGTGTTGACATTGAATGGTTAATACCCGCAGTAGCTCTTTATGTGCTTATACATATTGTTTTTCTTCGTTTGCTCAAAGCTATAGAGTGTTGACCCGATGCACTAAACTCATGATTGCCTCATTGTAGTATCTTAAGATTTTCCCCTATATCTCCCTAGTTTTCCCGCTGAAATTCTTCTTGTTGTCGATTTTCTTTAACAAATTTGCCGTTGATTCGTTTGCATAAAAATAGCCGCGCCCGCTACTATTATCTTGTTAGTTAATACGACTTGCAGAACCGCTAGGAGGCCTTTCGCTCCGTCTGTGGGACGAAGGTGAACCAGACGATGATACGACTATATAGCGCGACAACATGGCGGAAGTGAACAAGCCCCTGTACGAGGCTAGCGCGATGCCTCACCTGATCTCGTTCGATGAGATTCTTACGCACATAGGAGATCTTGGCAGATGGCAGATACAAGTTTTCCTGCTCATCTCGCTTGCAATATTAGTGCTTGGCTTACAGAACATGGTGATCGTATTCATCGGAGCGATCCCTGAGCATTGGTGCGCCGTGCCGGAGCTGGCGGCACTACCCTACGACGTGCAGAAAAACCTGAGCATACCGTATGACATATCAGATGAAGGAGTATTGAAATGGTCGGCCTGTGAGGTATATTCTGAACGAAATTACACGCAGGCAGCTTTTCTCTATGCCAGTGGAGGCCTCGACAGTTTGTCGCACTTCTTTTACACCGACGGCAACCAGACATCGTGTGAGAATGGTTGGATTTACGATCAGCGAGAGGGGGGCTCGACTTTCGCTACTGACGTAAGTATGAGATAATGCTCACGGCATACCTATACTTTCTGCGAGAACAGCTCTACGACATAGCTCTTAATACTGTACATACACCAGTATATAACTAGCTATCGTGTGATTTCTGCTTCTACGACGTTGATATGCATAGCATGATGACGCGGCTAAATCACCTGGCGAGGCCATGTATATAGTGCCTTTCGTGGTCGAACGTTGAAGATTAAAATGTTTTATTGGTATCGATATGGTATATTCTGTATTTTTTTTTACATATATCTGTATGGTATTATTGGTATAAATTTGCAACTTCTGCTCATTTTAGTCACAACATGTAATGAAAGCGGGCTATAGTACTAGAGCTAATATAATATATGCCTTAGAGTATTGTTCTATGGCTAGTATGCTAATTCATTGCAGTGGGACCTGGTCTGCGGCAAAAGCTGGTTGGCGTCTGCTACCGGTCAAAGTCTCTACATGTTGGGTTTTCTGATCGGATGCATTGTTTTCGGGGAGATTTCAGACAAGTACGTGTTCTATGACACCGCTCGCCAATAACGTCACAATTGCGCAGAAAGTCGTACGAGGTTTCTAATCGCTATCTAATATTTTGAGAAGTCAGTACACACTGCGCGGTAGTTATCCTAGTCTGCATCGCGCCCAAGTAGGTGATATATATAAATAATAGGCGATAGCGCGCGTGATCCCGATTGACACATTCGGTCAAGCAAGGTTTAAGGTTATATGCAAACTTGAAAGCTACGGCTACAATGTTATTTACAGGAAAGGCCGGAAGAAAACCTTCTTGTTTACGATACTGATGCAAGCGATGGTCTGCACGGCTAGCGCTTTCTCTCCGAACTATCCCGTCTACGCCGTGCTGCGGTTCCTGACAGGAGCGGCCGCGGCTGGGTCCTATAACAGTGGCTTCGTCTATCGTGAGTCGCCAATATAGCCAATATCTGTCGTGATATACCTCGGTGCTATGTCGATAATTGGGTGCCGGGTCACGCAGCAGACGCGCCGCAACTGTGTGACGTCATCTCATTACGGGTAACGCTTCGGCAGACATAAAACTAGACGTTGAAAAACTCATTTTGATGTGCAATTAGTGTTAAACCGCTGTCCGACGTAGCTGTGGCGTCAGACAGTGTAGTTATGTAAATAGCTATAGCTTGACGCGCGATCGCTCAACGTTACACTCTATATCTATAACGATTCATCTAAACCTTTGCCGCATGTCGTGTTTACTTATTCAAATGGCAGTTAGATATATTAGGACAGGAGGCCACGGCTATGACGTAGCTAAATGTAGGCCTCGGTCTAGTCCTCGTGGTCAATTGCCTTTGTCAATTCTGGTTGCAGTAATGGAGAACATTGGGAGTGCTTATCGCAATCGATGCTCTAACGGCACCGTCATATTTTACGCGATGGGATGGCTGTTGTTAGCCCTGTTGGCGTGGCTCATCCCCTCGTGGCGTTATCTACAGTTGGGGATATCAGTTTGGATCTTCTTTCTGCTGGGTTATTACTTGTAAGTTAAATGTGTGTAAAGAAGTGTACGGAAGATTCCACATGTATGTTCAGTTACGAATGTTACATTCTCACATTTTTATGTTAATGTATCCTACTTAACTATAACTCCCACCATGTGAGTAAAATTATAAACACTATAATGACTAGCACGTATCGAACAAGAGACGAATCGTCCTTACTCGCGTTGCGGTTACACGGTCACATGATAACATTTGCGGTTCTTCGATTTAATTGATAAACTTTTGTGATCAGGACTAATTCTGAATAGTCCCGTGCTTTCCTTGTTTAAAGTCTTCTAGACGAATCCCCACGATGGCTGTACGCAGAAGGCAAGCACGAAGAATGCGAAGTGGCACTGAGGAAAATGGCAGCAATCAACCGTAGGCCATACCCCGAGAATGTACAACTGATTATTGATGTAAAGGTAAAGATTAGTGTAGCGACTGCATGATTAAACGTTAGTTTAGGATACATAGTTATTCGTAACGTCACATGCGATCTCGAGGAATATTCCTGGTGAGATATGACTACATGTCAAGATACGGGTCTGAGAATTTCAGAAGCATCAGATAATCACCGACGACGGAAAGGTGAGAGAACCGAACGTCATGGACACACTGCGTACGCCAAACATGAGGAAGAAATCGCTCGTCATGATGTTGCAGTGGTAATTGTTATATATCTCGTGTTCTAGAGACATTCGAATACAGATTCCAACGACTGTCTTGGTGGTTACATATTATATTGTTCAGATAAACTTAAATCACACAGACACTGTTACAGGAGCGTGTAGAGGCTATAGTCCCGCCATAATTCTCCTCTTCTCGACTAGTGGCGCCACCTCTTGGGCGTACAAAGCATAAACATAACTTTACGTTTTCCAGTTATCTTACATCTCCCTCCCTTACAAGATCGTACTAGAATGCATAACTATAAACGAGCAACATTGAACAGTATGTTACTAAACGAACATCAGTACACTCTATTGAATTACGACCGTTATAGGAGGTCCTACACATAGTCACTAAACCGTACAGGTGGTTTCCTGTTACGTCCAGACCTTCGAACTGGTTCAGGACAGTCTTCAGACGTGACATTCATTATATTGTCACTGTTGTCATTCATGACAATAGGATCGTCATCTGCACAGTCAGTCAGGGTTTCAAGTGTTGATGGTACTTCAACGGGCGACTGGATGGGTGGCAGTGCAGTTACTGTCTTCTCGTAGATATCCGGCTCTGTAGCTTCCTGAGTATTCGTCTCTGGAGTGATTGGTGACCATTTCGACGTTCCTGCAGTTGGTACCGTGGTTGGAGGGAGTCTACGTCTCAGCATAATCCGATTTCTCACTGTCAGTAGGCCTGATGGAAGACGGATGACATACTTTCTATTCTTAAGGTTACGTT